TTGTCACCTTTTTTGTGCACTGGGAACATGTACGAAAATTTCCATGCCTCAGGAAATTTGCACTCCTGCAAAGACAAGTTGAACAACTTTGCCAAGGGAGTGAGTAGCGATTCAGAGCACAGCTTTAGGACGGACGAGGGAATCCCATCCGGACCAACAGCATACGAGAGTTTTAACCTTTGAATAGCCAATTCAACAGTATGCTCATCGATTTGGAATGAACGAAAATCAAACGCATCTCTTGGAGTATCGCGGGTTGCTATTCCAACTTGGTTAGGTGATGCCGACATATCATTAAAAGAACTCATGAAATGTTGAGCGAAGAGACGACACTTTTCTGTTTCAGAGCTGGCGGATTGTTCACCGAGATGAACTGATAAAGGCAAACCGACTTCGTTCTTTTTTGAGTTAACAAACGACCAGAAACGCTTTGGGTTCCTGCGAAGGGATGCCTGTGTACGGAGCACATATCGGCGGTACAAGTATCGGTTGTATTTCCTATAATTATTACTGCTACGGTTGAACTCTTGCTTCGTGATGTATGAACGATTTCGGCAGTATCTTCGTAACGCTTTGGCCCTGTACCGTTTCAATCGACGCAGGTGACCATTAGACCATGCGGGCTTCGGCGCAGGTCGTGAAAGAGGAACAAATTCAGCCATGATATCGCAAATAGTTTGCCTGAAGTAATTGACGGCATCGTCAACACAGTCAGCTAATTCTATTGGTCGCCAGTCGACCCTGGAGATAGCAGCGCTAAGTTCAGCATAATCAGCTCGTCTAAAATCGAAGGTACGAGAATCGTCGGTGCGCGCCTCAAAAACGACCTGCGGCGGAAGTTGCATCATTACATCCAGAGCAGGGTGGTCAGGATCTAGTGTGGTCAGAGGTTCAACAGCCTCCGAAACAACACATGCTGGAGTTGCAGCTTCGTTCGACAGAACAAGGTCTAGGAAGCGAGCATTTCTGTTCGATATACCATTGAGCTGCGTGAGGCTATGCAGAGAGAAGCCATCGATAAGCGCCGAGCTTGCAGACATCAAAGCAGTTTGAGGCTCAACTTGCATAGACCCATCGTCTGAGTTCCTCCATTGGAGAGCAGGCTGGTTGTAATCTCCAAGCAGTAGAGCAAAATCATTGAATCCCAAGTTAGCAACAATGGTACCGATGGAATCCACGTGGTCTTGTATGCTGCTGCTATCGTTACGACGATCCGGTGGTAGGTATATTACGCCCACGCTGACAACTCGGCTCGGCATAGTCACTCTAACCCACAGTTGCTCCAAACCATCGCTGACGGGTGAAGGGTCGATATAGCTGTTCCAACGGGTAGAAACCGCAATCAAAACACCACCTCCGCGGGTCTTCGCACTATTAGAGCCATTTCAATCAGTGCGATATACAGCAAAGGTGTCCCCGAATAGTTGCGCACTGTATATACGGTCGTCGAGCCAGGTCTCGGTCAGCACTATGACGTCATAATCGCACTCGCTTGCGACAAGAAAGAAGGAATCCACCTTGGTTCGTAGTCCTCGCACGTTTTGGTAGTAGAACCGCATACCATTAACTGCTTCTTCATTGCCAACTAGAGCAGACTCGATGACAGGAGAGAGAGCCAAGGTGGGAGATGGAACGTTGCAACTAGGGCCGCTGGAATTGGAAGACACTTCAGGAAGAGGAAATTCCACATTCGCATGGTACTTGCCTGAAGAAGCAAGCTGGAAGACCCTCTCTCTACATCCAACCACGGGTCCGGGACGACTATGATGAGCGCTGGTGAGCAATCGAGAACCGGCCTTCACTTTGAAGACTGTGAATTTTGTCATTTCATCTTTAATCCTCGCCAACGCCATGGAATCGATAAGCAGGTCTTTCCACATTTCAAATGTATGGCGGTGGATTTCGTCTTCTCCCGCCTGAGGTTTGCATTCCGGAACTGCAATTGATGATATTGATAGCTGGTTCATAGAAGACAAGAAGCGAGACTCGTCCATGCTTCCCGGTGACTTGGTTTGTCGAGTGCTTGAGGCACTTGGCACGGCTTCAAAATCGACACTGTCTTCTTCAATCACTTGACTTCCTAGGTACCACACTCCAGTCTTCAGGAAGTTCAGAGAACTTCACAGAAGTGGAGAAAACTTTAGAACAGTTCCAAAAGCTTCAAAAGTATCTCAAGGACTACATTTAAGCTCCGAAAACATCAGGGAAGATCATAGAAACTCAAAGCAATTTTATTAACATCAGGGATATTGTAAATATTTTTCAGGGAAATTCTGAATGCTTCAGGATATTCCGAGAATTCCATAAAAATGGCGGGAACTCCAGGAAAGATCCACGAACATTAGCAAAATTGATTAAACTTCTGGTAGGTTTAGTGATATTTAGGGAAGTTTAAGGATTTTAAAGTAACAAACTTAAAGCAAGATCAAAGAACATCAAGAAAGTTCTATGAACTTAAGGAAACAGGTGGGAGTTTTACTGAAAAGTTCCGGGAAGTACAAACATTTTCAGGGATATCCAAAGAACTTTAAAAACTCCCAAAGTCTACAGAAATTTAAGAAAAAATAATATATCTTATCTACTAAACGAGCATGGCGAGATATTGCAATGATAAGGGGCTTAATTTATCAAGATGAAGGTCTGTCCATCTTGGCGAAAGATATTGACAGTCAACGAAACAAATTGATTGCATTTTATGAATGGCAATCTATGTTTTTGGTAGTTAAATATTTTTAAGATTTATTCCAGTGTCAGTTAAAATGAACTGAATTATCTGTATATGCAGTTATACATTCTTGTATAACAATTATGGGCGTAATGATGGTGGGCGCGAGGCGCTCATATGAAAAATCAGTGAGTAACCAGCTCTAAATTTACCATGATAGTACCAGAATTAACTATTACGCCGGGGTCGTCCCTGGAACATTGGTTCGGTCTACATTCAGTCGAATATAAATCGAGAATCTTTTTTTATCCATTAATTTATTTGTAAGGCTCAAACGCGTTAGCTTTACGGAGCCGATTCTTACAGTTTTTCATTAATTTTGAATAAAAGAGTTTATAAAATTAGTTAATTTTTTCCTAGAAGCCGGTTGTTTGGTGTTAACTTTCTCTCGCGGCCTCAGTTTTCTTCTTTCTTCCGTTTTCTGTGTTTCAATAGCAGTTTTCAATTTCTTCGCGATCAAGAACAATGGATTGCTTTCGGTCTCGAGCTGACTTCCTCTTGCTGCTTCTTGTTCTTCTTCCATGTCCGGGGTCGTCTCATCGATTGCCATAACTTCTTCATCGAACACCTCAATAGCATCCGCTGTAGCATCGCCGGCTAAAACACCCGCATATGATGTACAGGTATCCACGCTGCTAACACTTTCCGTATCCGTCGTTTGTTGTTTTCGAGCTTCCTGCGAGGTTTCCGCTTTGGGCAAGAATTCATCTGGTGCCCCTCAATCTTGCAAACAAAGCACACATTCTTGTTTCCGGGATAGAACACGTTTCCTTTACGGTTGAGGAAATGCAGTGATGTAGGAATTTCCTTCTTAACATCCATATATACACCGCGGATGCCAGTGTATACATCAAAACCTAACTCGGGAGGAAATTTCTCCCTAACCACACGTTTTACCTTGCCGTATTTCCCCAGCACCAATGCTAGGTTTTTATCAGGCACTTCAGGAGGCAGATCGTACACTCTGACATACTGAATGTATTCATCCACATTCAACATGTGTACCTCTACTGCCTTTCCATCACTGTTCACTGTTATTCATCAATGTGTGACACATTGCCTCTTCGACCTTGAATTTAATAAACAAGGATTTCTCCTCTGCTACCCTGTATATAGCTTCCATCTGCATAGGATCCACATCCAGAGTCTTCGCGAAATTAATAATTTCGCCTATCGAGGTTTTTCTAGCTCCATCGCCAAAGCTAAATTTGACGGTGTTTTTAACTTCAACTCCATTCATTCTTGATTCTATCCACAGGATTCCACACACGGCTAGCTAACTGCGGATAAACAATGTGCGCAACACACAATAGCTTGGTCGAAAAACAGACTGCCGATAGCACTATCGACACCAAAAACAAATGCTGCTGTTTCCGTCCACAGCTGAAAGCGAACTGTAAAATCGAGAATCTTACTGGTTTAAAAAACAATACAGTTTAAAACTAATATAAAACTACATCGTATGAAGAATTCATGTAAATTTCTGCGATATATAGCGCACACCTATTTAACGCTAGATTTGGCTTAAATTTATGCGATATTTAATTTCAATTTAAGCGCAATATCGCATAAATCAATACAAGGTTGTAAACAATTTCCTCTTCTATGCCAACTATAGCTCAACATTCAACGAGATGAGATTTTACGCGACGTTCAACTTCCTGATTTTTTTCTCTATATATATTTAGGCACCAGTGCTGAATGTGCCCTGATTGATCTAAATCATTTAGTTCCAGCATATTTTGGCCAAAATTGAGGCAATCATAAAAAAAACTACCCGGGATCAGGTACCTGCATAGCTTCAAATGTGTATTCACATAACGTCATCCAACTAACCTACCGTCTACAGACTCACTCACTGAACCGACACAACCACTCTCTTTCAAATGAGAGGGAAAGCATTCCACCACACACCATATCGACCAACCAACCATACACATCCCGCAACCATTCATCGCGGCGGCATGGATGCACCCTCCCCCATCGAGCGAACATCCTTCTTCATCCCACCGGGACCGGGGAAGGTTTTTACAAACACCTTCCGATGGTGATGGTGCTTACGCTTTTCAATGGTTTCCATGCCTCCGCGATGCGAGTGATGGGGAGGGTGACGACGGCCCGAGAAAGAGAGATCTTCTTTTCGCTCGCTCTCTGCCTCTCTGCTCTCTCTCTCTCGCAAAACTCAACTACCATTTGGGGGGCCCACTAAGAAAGGGAGCATAGCTTACCAACGCATAACTCCAAACCGCGACCGAGACTCAGTCCGAGACGAGAATCCCTGGCGAAAACACATTTCCAACGCTAGCCACTACAACCTGCCCCGATCCGGTTGGTGTGTATGTGGTGCAATGTGTGCATGAAGGGGCTCATCAGCAGCAGCAGCAGCAGCAGTAGTTTAAGTGTATATCCCCATTTTGGAGCGGTTCGATGTAAACGGGCTGGAAAAAGTTTGTGAACGATTTGAAGAAATCGACGATTCGGCGGGGGCGCCGTGGCAGATCACTTTGTACAATGTTTGGATAATTTTGCAACTAGTCTATTGGAATTCAGCGCACATCTTATCAATTGCTAATGAAGTAATTTGGATTTTGGTGAATTGCGACGCAGTGGTGGTACCTTGCGTACAATACTTTTTTTTGTTTTATGCATCCGTGCACTATTGTGCAATCAAGTGTAAAATGGTGGTTGATGCATCCGATTTGGTAGTTTAATTGCAAATTGTGAACTCCCGTAAAATATTGCATTTTTATTTTCAACACCAAAAATTACCATCCTTCAATTAATGCTAAAAATATAAGGAGCGAAATTGGGTGCGGCGTAAACTCATCAGTGAATCATCATTGTATAATAATGTGAGAAGCATCTTCTGAAAAAATGGTTTGAGTTTTGCGAGGTGTAACACGGAATCTTCAACCTAAGTTCGACGGAAACATAACCAACTATGTGACAGTGAAGTAAAACGAATGGTTTGATTTTTGTTTCAGTTATTTTCATTTCTTCGAATCCAACACATAACAAGGAATACTTGGAAACAAGACAATAATCAACTGTACAAAAAATATAAAGTAAAAAATTAGAAAAATCTGTGATAAATCTATGACAATAATTACAAGTGTTAAAAGTATAAAATTTTAAATGAATGCATAATAAATTAGCTAGTTCAAATAAGTAACCAATAAAGGAAGTATTTCATCTAAAAGAAGAGTAAGAAGATCAATTACAGAGTGAGTGTGCATTTCCGAATAAGTTTCGAAGAATTACGCAGAAAATTTTCCGCGCTCGCACAATCCCCAGCGAATGTGACCGCCATTTTGGAAACGTAAGGATATTTTTCTCAAGCCACACACCGTTACTCACCACTCTCGCAATCGTCACTCGTCGGTTCCGTTCCGGGGGAGCTGAGCGCACGGAAAAAGGAATCCCCAACGAAAACCAACGAACCAAGCCAAGCCAAGCCAAATCAAACCAAACCGAAACCAAAACCGAGCCGCCATCATGCTTTCCACCAGCGAACTGGGTGGTGGAAGCCCTCATCCTGGGAGACAAAGTGAGGAGTATTGCCAATGGCGCCCCAAGCCACAGAACGGTCGGATTACCGCTACCTATGCTGCCAGAGCCAGGGATTTAGTCCTAGTGGGGCTTGTGGTGGCGCTTCTACTGGTCGCTAATGGTGAGTACAATCGATGCGTGTTGAAATGGAGAGGAGGGGGGGTCAAGGTTTCAGGGATGAATGAGGGTGGATAATAAATTGGAATCGTCATAGACAGTATTGAATGCATGAAGGATTTGAGCTGTAATAGAGGTGTTTCTAGTTCTCTCCAGAGACATATTTTGAATTCTTCTGTTTCTGAATACAAGAATCCTCCGAATGCCATCCACCCACCGCAGGTTCTCGGCATTCTTCCAGCTAATTTAGCTGAAGTTCTGTAGGTCGACCCTAATCACATACAAAAAAAATCAGCTCAATTGGATGTAAGACAGCCGAGAAATTGCTATGGGTGGACCGCACCACCCACTGCACTATTCGGGGGATTCCTGCACTAATTTCAATTTTCAAGGTAAGGGAAAACATTTAATGCAGTTTTTCACAGCATTCCCTTTTTAATTCATAAATTTACTTTTAGTTTGGTACTTAAACTAGCATTCCGGCACATAACATATGTGGAACTCGATCTTCAAAAATCGACCCCATTTCAGTGATTTCAAGTGGTATAGATGGACATCGATCTGTCAAATTGATTATACCAGCTGTAAAATGAGAAAGGGGATTATGGGGTTTGTTAATTCTTTTAAATAATTCTATCGTTGTTTATGATTCTATGTGTTCTTAGCACTCCTGAACTCATGTCTTATTGTTTCTTTAACCATGTGTGTCCTTTATTTATAATCATACAGCAAGCTTTAACAAACTCTTCACCTTGCTTCACACAGCAAAACAGGGGTAAATTAAGTCCAGAGAGAAGCAGCAAAACTTTGCAACAAGTTGTCAAGGTTTATACAGAAGTACCATTTGAAAAATATGCAGTGTTTTGAACTGACCTTGCATCGTTCCATTCGCAAGAATTTTGAAAGCAGAGTGATAAAACACTTATCGATACCTGTAATACCCAAGATTTCAACACTCCCTATGTTTCTCAATTGCCGTCCATTGAAAGTTTCTTCTCAAATCCCAACATAAATAACTACTCCAATTGCTTTAAAACAAAAACCGGGGTAAGGTTGATCCTGGTTGATCGAAACGGTGAAGGGCAACACACTTTTTTTCGACCACTATGGATAAGGTCACAGGTAGGTGTATCAAAGTTAAGCACTATTTACAAACGAATAATAATCGTTTGGTTCTATTGGAAGTTGTTTTGTTTATAGTTTTGTTTAAGAAAAAAGTAAGAGGCTGTATTTAACGTAGGATTTCGAAAGGTAGTTTTGTTGTCACAGCAAAAGTATCGTAAATTGGGGAATGTACGTATTCTCGGCAACCTAAGCAGCGATCATCTTTCTATAGTCTTTTTCTCTAAGGAACGCACACATATGCAGCATTGGTTTGTTTACAATCTTTTGCTGCCAGCTGCTCTAACAATTTCATTCGAAAGAATCGTCAAAAACTGTTTTGAAACGTTTTTACAAAGCTCCAATCTTCTCTAGTGAGAGCGACTATTGTGGGCAACATCTTTTTATTCGGCAACCTTTCTATTTGAGCTGCGTGTTAAACGGCTGTGCTTTCATCGGCAGCTTGAAATCAGCAGCGTTTTGTAGTGCGTTTGTTTCATTTCAAGAAAACCCTGCTAGATTACTTTTTCTCAGTGGGAAAAAAAGTAATCAATTGAAGCTGAAAGCCTAAAGAATCGTTTGAATGCATTCAGCGAAGTGTTTTCGTGAGAAAATCCAGCGAAATTAGCGTTTTAATTTGGGTTGCCGAAAATAGTATGTCATGCCGAAGCCGTCATTTCCCCTATTAAATTGATTTCTTAACTCGTTATCAGTGAAAAAGTTCGATAGGTTGAAATTCGGAAGCAGTTTGAGAGTTCTGTTATTGAAGTGCTCTGTCGGTGTTCCATGTAGCCAAACCTGGATGATGTGTCTTGGATACAAGCTCTTACTTGAAGTCTTTAGTTTACTCATTTATCAGTCATTTGTGGTTTAAAACAATTCTGTGGAGTTCACACCAGAAATGGTATTCTGAAATTTAATCTATGTTAGGGAGAACACATCAATCACAGGATCGGAGCAAACCCTTATTAAGAAAATTCGAGAAGAATTTTATTGCATCAAAAAGACAATCGAAGATAATTTTAATTATCATAGCAACAATTGCACATTCGTACAATTTTCAATAGAGACCTTTTGAAAATTGATGTGTCTTAATTTTAGCAGAGTCGTAGAAAAATTTCCTATCGATTGGCGTATGAAGAATTAAAATCCATCATCTCTGGATTGAAATCAGACCACTTTCATGCAGCGACCGGTTTTGATTTTAGAAATTGCACCCCCAATGTTGTAGGATTAGGCGATCTTGGATCGATCTTTGGAAAATTGATCTTTGGAAGATCGATCTTTTTCATCCAGATTTCCGATTTTTGAATCGATTCTTTGCCCACGAAAAGATCGAAAAAAGCGATCTATTCTTTCGATCTTTTCGATCTTCAAAAAAAAATATGTGTTAATTTTTTTATGTACATTAACATCGGAATACAGTTTACTCTCACCATAGACTGCGTTGTAAATTTAACGAACATAACGTCAACATCAGCATCGCTCCCTACAATGACGTCACTATTTGCGTTTCCGATATTTACGACTACAGCAACATTTGAAGGATTGGGCTACCTCCCTCCTGTGCTCATTGCTTCTTACCATCACGACAACATTTAACTGAATGTTATAAAGGAAATAATTTCTTGGGTACCAACGTAAACAAGCATTTAAAAATAAAAACTCAAAAGTTCGATCTAACAAAGATCAATTCTTTGGTACCGATTTAATCAGTGGATCGATTCTAATCGATCGTAAAGATCGATCTTTCTCTTAAGATCGCCCAATCCTACAATGTTGCCTTTAAAATATATGGTACACGGTAAGAAAAAAGTACCCACTTTTACCTACTTTTGACTACTTTGTCTCCTTTTATCCTTTTAATGTTGTCAAAAACGGAAGAGCAAAACCACCCAACAGTGGTAGTAAAGTGTGGGAACCCCGAGGGGGACGACTCTATCTACAGGAAATATTGTGTTTTGCTGTGGCTAGCTGTGCGTACGCTGAGCAGATAGAAAGAAGATTTATCACGATTTTGAAGATTTCCTGCAAAAAGATGATGCGAGAAATGAAAGAAGATTTATTCGCTAGTGTGAGATTTTTTGAGCTTCTAGAATTGAGATTTAGATGTGTCGCCCCCCTCGGGGAACCCAACGTTGAGTATAATCATATTTACCTACTTTTGGGTATAACTAACATACTTTTGGGTAGAAAGCGAGTGGAAAATTCTATACGAATTGCACACAAGTAAATGAAAACTACTTTGACCAGATTTACTTACTTTTGGGTACTTTTTTCTTACCGTGTAGGTTAGATTTATAATTATGGGAACTGACATCCGATTGATGAACTTGACAAGTCTCGCGTCATTTTCAAATATACCAATCTACATTTATTGATTTTCTTCATCGACTCTCTCAATGTAAATTGGTCTATTTGAAATATAACGCGAGAAGTGTCCTACACGTTTGCTTTTATGCACAATAATTGTATTGGCAATTGGCGTTGACGAGAGCTCTGTAACTCTTTACTCTTATGGAGAAATCTCATATGTAACTGTCAGTCTATGTGTGAAACATGGCGGACTTTTTCTTATTCTCTCACTCTAACGCAAAATCCCATAAGGAACTGTCAAAATGTGTGTGAAGAAACGTCACTTCGGGACTGGTGTCAAGGCGAATACATTCTATATTGACGTTAATACATCGGTATTGTCGTGAGGGGCTCGCTTTTAACAAATTTATAGTGTTCCTGAAAAGGACAGTTTTGTCGTGAGCTATTATGTTGTTGTTTGGAACTGTGACGCGCTTGGCATATATGGCCCACAGCGGCTCACGACGAGCAACTGAAATCCAATCAGTAGTGGTGCAACTTCTTCCTTCTTCTTCGGTAAATGGACTGCTCAGTGGCCTGCAGCTCGCACTTGCGGGCAGCCTTTCGTCATGTACTGGAGAACAATCTACAACGACGCGTCGGAAGCACAGGTGCTGCTGCTAATGATGACCACTGGACACCACTACTCACCACACGCGGTGATTGAATAAACACCGTTCGGTGAGACCGGAATGAATTCGATTTTTAAATCTGTGTTAGGCAAAGCGCTTTTCGCTATCAATCGGTGATAATTTTCATTATTATAGCAACAGTTGCATATTCATGCAATTTTCAAAAGTGATCTTTTAAAATTTGATAAAGTATTCATCTTAGCAGATTTCTAGATGACATTCCTATCGATTGACTTGTTTAAAATGAATATCCATCCGCTATTGACAGAGTTAAAAGCGGTCAAAACCTGACCACTTTTCGTAACGCGGTCGATTTTGATTTTTTTAAATTGCACCCCCAATATGTAATATGTGATGTGATGCAACGTAATCATCAAATTTTCGAGTTATTTGCATTAGATTCCATTCAATTCACATAATTTCCATTATCAATCCAATGCAATTAGATCGAAGAGACGAAAAAATATTACATCTGCAAATAGGCAATACTGGATAACAAACTCAGAAATCTGGTTTTTCCACACGTAAAATATTTGACTCGTTAAGTTATGTCAAATATTGCTATTTTTCATATTTGTTTGCCTAAGCCATTGTACTTGTCTGTTATTTGACCAAAGTCTACAAAATGGTTAATTGACCAGCTATTTGTCAACATATTTGTTGAAGTATTACATTATTCGCAGTTGACCTAGGGCCACATTGCGCATCTCGAAACGAAACACTTTTTGTACGAATGCTTGTAAGAAAAACTTTTTCGTTTCTAGATGCGCAATGTGGCCCTTAGTTTATTTATTTGGCCATGGAATTGATACTTAATTGCTGGTTGTATTTAATTCCATTTAATTTGTGACAAGAAAGCGAATTTTGATAATCTCAGGTCTCATCCCAGATTGGAGATATCATATGATCCATAAGA